GGCTAAGGCTTCTGTAATATTATCTTGCGTATCATTAAACTTAGCCATCATTCAAATATTATACTAATTCATAGGATTTAAACCACGAATAAATTGCTCTCTTTGTTGTTTGGGAGCCATTCTAGCTATTTTACCAACCTTTTTGATTTTAGCAGAGAACTCTTCAATGCCTATATTTCCTTGCATAAGTTAACCAAAAACTGCCATTTGTTTTAAATGTTCGATGGTTGTATAGGCAATTCTGAGTAAGAAAATAAGCTAGCCAAGTTTGATTTTAGAAGCAATTGTAATAGCAGGAAAACTATCTGTATTCGGGGCTACTACTGTATTATTTGTAGGTTCACCACCAGCTATAGACTAGTCTTCATTCCATGTTCCATTTGGAATAATATCAGTACCAGTTGTGACTCCCACTTCAATTCTGCCAATTTTTGTAGCACATGCATTGCAAAATTTTCCTGCAGTGTTCAAACTACCAATTTGATTACCTCCATTCTCAGCGCCTATTTTACGAACTGCATTCAAGTTTGCTACACCTAGATTGTCTAAGAGATTATTACACTTTCAATTTTTACCATTAATGCGGGTTTCATACCATCTTTTAGCATCACCTTCAAGACACGATATTAATAAACCTAAAGCCTCTTCTCTTCCGGCTGCCTGGCCTGCTCCAAAAGCTACGTTTATTCAACTAGCTACTATATATCTCTGAAAATCTCTAAGGAAGTCTTCTGGATCTTCTCCAGGACGTCTATAAAATATCGGGGGTCCAAATCCAATCATTCCTATTCGTTGTATATTAGGTGGGTTATTCAGTAGCACAAAAATTTGTTGATTTAAAATTAAAATATTCTGGCAAGAATTAATTTCACGAGCCTTTTATTTTTGATACCAATTAAATATCCAGGCTCGATTGAATTCTGCCAAGTTAATCTCAGCTTTGCACCTTCGATATATTAGCTAAAGGGCTAGCTTTTCTCCTAGCAATTCACCGATATGGGTTTGCTTTCTTGCTATATTATTTATCATTCTGTTTACTTGATTCTAAGCATTGGTCCGTAACTGATCACGCTCCTGCACCGCTTGATCATGCTCCTGCCTATATATATCACAGTTCCATCATTCATTCACCAGTTCTTGTTGCAGGTTAGTGTATTTACGTCGGATTGATCTTGTTGATCTTTTAATTTGATTTGTTAAAATGGTTCTACATATTGTTGTATCATTTAGGAATCAGTCTATTGCATCAGCCAACTCGGCTATTGTGGCTATATTATCATCAGAATTATACAAGTCTAGAGAATTTTCATCAGAATCGGATTCATTTTTACCAAAATTCCATGCCTATGTATTTTGTAAAGCCTCTTGTATATTTCTAAGTTCTAATCTATCTCGATATCTTAATAATGCTAATGCAAAATTTTGACAAAGCAGGTCTGTAATACAGTTTTTTT